AGAATTAATTGATCTTCTGCTTTTTGGTGAAAGTGTATTTAATTAATAAATAGTCTAAGTTACTAAAAAGCAGCTTTGTAGATGATATAAGATGTTTATAGTTTTTGTCTATAAAGATGTAATTGAGTCTAGTTGTTATTGTTTGGTTATTTTGAACCTTTTAATAAAATATGAAGAAAGGTTTTTGTTCTGCATAAATAGCAGAATCTATATAATTTTTTATCAAGTCTTTAAGTTGAATTCTAGAATTGCCACTTTGAACTAAAGCTTGGCTTATTCTGTTTATAGTAGGGTCTAGATTGGTATTAAAATCTCTTGCCAAAATGTTAATAGTGTTTTCTTTGTATTGTAAAGACCACTTATCAAAAAAGGCTATTCTGTTTTTTTATATTAAGAAGAGTATAAATATTTGTAACTGAAAAAGAATGACCTCTATATATAAAGCTTGTAAAGATTGCTCTTCTTTTGTATAAGACTTCTATGTTTTGAAATTTTATTTTATTTCTTCCTACTAGTATAGTAGTTTTGTTTGTCTATATTAATTCATATATTCATTGCTTTTTAATAAAAGTTTGTGTTGCTTGATTGTTTAAATTTGTTTTTTGTAATAGTATTAAATCTAAGTTATATAATTTTAAAAGTATCATTGTTTTTTGTCTTTTATTTTAATCATTAAGTCTCTTTACATTTAGAGTAGTGATTTTAATTATTGCTTTAGTTATTAGATTATAAAAGTAGATATGCTTTTATTGAGCTTTTAGAAAATTTTTCTCGGTTCGTCTTTTCTTGTATAGAGTTTGTCTTACTATTGCTTGTTTATATATATTTTAATTTGTTTATTCTTTTGTAGAATACTGTTATAAGTCTTTTTCTATTAGAATTGTTGACAATACATTTTCTTAAATAAAGTTATTTCTTTATTATTGTCTTTAAATATTGGGTCATTTAGTACTAGCTTATCTTTTGTTGTAAGTTCTTATTCTGAGAAAGTGGTTGCTTGTTAGCTACTTCTTGTGAATTATCAATTTTGTCAACTATACTAAAAGAAACATTTTTTATTTTTTGTTCTTCAGGTGTTTTTATATTTATTGCTTTTTCTTTTGATTCTTCTTTCTCTTTAGTTTCCAAAGAACTTTCTACTTCTTAAACTACTTTGCTATAGTTATTTCTGTTTCTTGTCTTGGAGGCTTCTTTAAATTTTTGATAATATTGTCTTAATATAATTAATTCTTTATACTGAGAGCATTCTTTTTTTATATGTCTTTCTTGGTCACAGAAGTAGCAAACTTTAGGAGCTGCCTTCTATTCAGTTATGATTTTGTTATCTCTAAGATGAGTAAAATGAAGAATTCATTTTTCTAGATCTGTGTCTTTGGTTGTATCAAAAATAATAATTTACTAATTAGTTAAATATAGTATTCCTTCGATTACTAGTAGTTTGATTGAGACTATTTTGCCAAAATCTTGAAATGCATCTTTAATTAGCATTGTAATCTTCTTTTTTCTTTCTAATAGAACATTTCTAAGTTTTACTGAAAGAAAAGACTTGTGTAAGTCTGTTGGGATATATCCAAAATATGATTTGTTAAAAATATTGATGCCTTTAATTGCATGATAGCTAAGCATATTTTTGTTGATAAAGATAATTTTTAGATATATATGATTGTTTTTTTTGAAATATTGTTTTGCTGCTATAATATCTTGCTTGATACTTTCATAAAATAAGATCATTATTTCATTAAAAAAGCTTTGAATATTTTGTATTTTAATAATTAATATATTGGTTGATCTTTAGTATAGGTGGATATATATAATTATTACAAGATTATAATATATAAAATCTAACTAATTTGAGCCAATTTAAGTAATTTTATAAATTATTAGAGTTAGGAATAAAGTTAAAATTTAAATTAGCTCAAATTAGTTAGGTTTTATATATTGTAATCTTGTAATAATTTATATATGTCCATCTATACTAAAGAAGATCCAATATATTCTCATTTTTGGTTTTTATTTGTTCTTTAGAAGAGAAAATTGCATATGTTAATTGACCACTTTTAGTTTTGCAAATAAGCTTGACTACTTTTTATTAATTATATTCCTTAATTAGCTAGTATCTACTTTAGCTTTTCCTTTCAAGTTGAGCTTCCAACATATGGATTATATTCTGAAAATTCTACAGCACCTAGTTTATTTTATTTAAGTAGTTAATTTTAATCTATATTTATATAGCTTTGCACATATTTTGTAACGTGACTTGTTTTGTTATTATTTTGTTGTTTTTCATTTTTATATATTAACATGTTTGTAAAAATTGAGCCTTGATTTTTTTTCTCTGAAGAGATTAGTTCTTCTCAATTGACATTTTTGCAGTCGTTTTAACTACTTGTATTAGCATTACTATATTTGCAGTGGTTTCTTTTCTTTGTTGTTGTTTTGACATGCTGTTTATTTTTTTTTGTTTGTTCAAGAAAAAATTTTATATTTTTAATTTTTTGTTGCAAGTTTTTTTATTTCATGAGAAATATATTTTCTTTTCTTTGATAAAGACTATTGCTCTTATTGAGCCTTGTTTTAGGTAATTTATAAACTTGTATTGAGTAATTATTATATATATTGTTTATACTCTTTTTTTTATAAATTTGTTTGAAAGAGAGTTTGTATCAATTTTTTCTAAAACAAATATTAATTTTTACAAATAAAAAAAATTTATAATAGAAAATTTTAAATAATAACCTATCACTATAGCAATCTTTATATAATTGACCAATCACATTAAAGATTGATAATTAAATAAATAGAGTAAACTAGATTAGAAATAATTCTTTTAATCTAATTTAATCTAGATCTCAGTATGTTTTTTTTGAAAATTTATTTATTTCAGTTTTTTTAAATTTGTAGGTTTGAGAAAAGTAACATTTTAAATAAGAAATATATATTTTTTTATTTTGCTTTTTTTTCTTGTTAATTCTATTCTTCTTTAGTATAAATCAGTATTAGCAAATATTAAAAGGCTTTTTAAATATATTATTTTCTTTTTTTTTGTTTTTAGTTGCTTTGTTTTATTAATTTTTTTTTTAAATTTGCTAAATATTGCTTAGTATCAGACAAATATATATATAGCTTTTTAGATAAGGTATTAAATTTTTTTTTTGTTTTTTTTTTTTTTCTTGTTAGTCTGATTACTAAATTTAGTTTTCTTTTTTAGATAATATTTGCATTTTTTTGAAGGTGTCAGTTTTCTTTTTTAGAGATTTTTAAATATAAATTAATACTGAAAAAGTATATATATGATGTTTTAAAATAAGATATTAGTCTTTTTGTTTTTTTTCTGTCTTGTTAGCTTTGTTATTAATTTTAGTTTTTTTTTTAAGTTTTTTAGACTTTATTAGACACAAATCAGTACCAGATAAATATTATATAGTGTTTCAGATAAGATTTTTTCTCTGCTTTTCTGTTTTTTATTTTTTTTCTTGTTAATTTTGTTATTAACTTTTTTAAAGATTTTTAGATTTTATCAAATATGAATTAATACTAGACAGATATATATGCAGTGTTTTTGATAAATTATTAAATTTTCTTTTTTATATTTCATTTTTTTTTGTCTTGTTAATCTTATAGTATTTACTAATTTTTTTTTTTTTTAAGTTTTTTAGGTTTTGCCAGACATGAATCAGCACCTAATAAATATATATAGTGTTTAAATAAGATTTTTTTCTGTTTTTCTGTTTTTTTAAACCAATTTCTTATGGGATTTTTAAACTTTGTTAAATACAAATCAATATTAAGCAGATATATATATAGTGTTTCTGATAAAATATTAAATTTTCTTTTTTATCTTAGGGAACTTCCACTTATTACGTAAATATAGCCCCCTCTAGAGTCAATCATTTGACAATTACAAGTTCTAAGGTAATCATAATATAACTCTATACGATTGGTTATTTTAGAGCTTGCAATTGTCAAACGATTGATTACTTTAGAACTTGTAATTGTCAAATGACTGACTCTGGAGGGGGGCTATATTTACGTAATAAATGGAAGCTCCCTTATTAATTTTGTTATTAATTTTGTTTTTTTTGAAGCTTTTAAGGCTTTGTGAATATAAATCAGTACCAAGAAATGTGTTTACAGTGTTTTGAATAGATAAGATTAAGTTTTTTGTTTTTGTTTTTTTTTATTGTTTTGTTCACTAATTTTTTTAAAATTTGCTAAAATATTAGTCAAATATTAAATAAAGAAGCAATAGAAGCACTAGATGAATATATATAGAAGCACTAAGCAAATATGTATGAAAGCACCAAATAAATATATATAGAAGTACTTGTTAAATATAAGTATTGTGCAAACATAAATGTTTTTTAAGTCTTTAAGACATTACTTATTTATTAGATCATATATATATATACTACCAAAATAGGTTTTTAAAAAATTTTATTTTGTCTTCATTAGAGCAAATTAAAATTTTTTATATACAAGAACAAATCTAATTTAAATAATTATATTCTTTATAATTTTGTCTTTTTAAAAAAGAGCCAAAAAATTTCATCTTATAAGTAAAATAGGTTAAAAACAATTTTGTCTTCAAATTTTAATTTCAGATTTTAGACTTCAAAATAATTTGTTAGCATATATAATTGTATATTAATATTTTTTTAATAGAATTTATTAGATTTATAATATTATAATATAGTAATAATAATATAAAAATAAATTAAAAAAGAAAATTTATAATCGTACACGTAGTGTTTGAAATCTAGGTCACGTGATGATGATTTTATTTTGTGTTGCTAGAGAAAATTTATAATCGTATAGTTTTTGAAACTCAGATCACGTGATATAAAATTTTATTTTGCATCCTATGATATAATGCCAATTTGTAGAAATATAGTTTTAATTTTTTTTTTTTTTGCGCTCTTTATTTCTTGTACTGTTGCATCGTTTATATCTCTCAAATATAACTTCACCAAAAACGATGTCACTTGACCTTCGAAGCCAATATGAATTTGGATAATCCCGATGATTGTTATTCACATGACCAAGTTTTTCATAATGTCTGTGGCGCTCAAAATTTTCAGTACTTGCAAAGTCTTAGTGATTACTAAAATATCCAAAGGTTTTATGCCACCGAATCTGATCAGCATTCCACAAATTTTCATCAAGATACTTCAGATTATTCTCTGCAAGAACTTTATGACTTATATTATAATGATATTCAGACACCAAATGACCAGTTTCAAATTCTCAACTGTTCACATACACCTAACAACTTTAACACATCATATATACAAGATGATACTTATGTCTAATTTATTCAGGATCCTAATGACCTTCATGTTTATGATCCTAATAATCTTCAGATTCATGATCTGAATGATCTTCATGTTCATTATCCTAACGACCTTAATGTTTATGACCTTCATGTTTACCATCCTAATGACCTTCATGTTCACGATCCTAACGACCTTAACATTCACTATGATGTCCAAAAAGCACTACTTTTTGAAGATAGTAGGGAAGAAGTCTATAATGAAATAGTTCATTTGTGTGAAACATCCGATAATGAATTTCAAGATGATGAGTTGGATGACAAACATTTAGAATTGATTCTAGGGCTTTCGTTTCAGGATTGGCAATCATTTAAAGCTTGGCTAAATAAATTTGTATTACAAGAAGGTTTTGATTATAAAATTAGGACTAGTGAAAAGGATGAAGATGGTGTGGTTAGACGGGTTAATTACGTATGTGTCAAAGCTGGTGTATATAATTCAAAAGTAATAACAGATCCAATTAGAAGGCGCAACAATGTATCTCAGCGAACAGAATGCCATTGGAAGTTGAATGTTACATTTTCTAAAACATCGTTAGTAGTAAAAATTAATTCATTCAACAATCATCACACCCATTCGCTTACTTCTATAATTAGAGAAATTTCTTCTCGGTTTCGAAAGTTAATACCAGAAATGTTAGCTAATATTGAAAAATACGTCATTCAAGGACGAATAGATTCAGGAACTATATATCCTCAACTTAAACATGATTATCCTGAATATCCCTTGTACAAACGTGATTTATACAATGCTGTGTGCTTTTAGGCGAAAAAATAAACTGGGTGATTTAGATACATCATTAATGCTTCAGACACTATTAAAATAGAAAGAAGAAAACCTATTATGGGTTGTTAAGTCACGTTTAGACCCCATCTCTAAAAGATTAGTCTCGTTATTTTGGATGTCACCTTCTCAAAGGGCTTTATATGAAACTTTTCACGATGTAGTAATAATGGATACTACTTCAAGCAGAAATAGGTTTTAATTAATGCTCTACATTATTACTGTGATCGATAATCACTTTAAAACACGAATTGTAGCATGCGGTATTATTGAGGATGAAACTTTAAATACGTTTCAATGGCTTTTTGAGGAATTATTTGAAGAAACAAGTATTGTTCCAACAACAATATTTACTAATAGTGATCCCGCTATGATAAGTGCAATCAAGAATATATACCCTACTGCAAACCATAATCTGTATATATTTCATGTGGATTTAAATCTCAAAAAAATTTAAGAAGTAAATTAGGCTTTCAATTTGAGGCATTTCGATCAGATTTTTATACTTGTCATAATAGCCTATATATAGACCTTTTCAAAAGTAGATGGGCAAAATTATTAGTGAATTATCCGGCGGTTGCAAATTACATAACTAACACCCTTTATAATAGCAAAGAATCATGGGCTATTCCCTGGGTTAACAAAATATTTACAGCAGGAGTGCAAAGCACTCAAAGAGTCGAATGTATCAACATGCATATTCATCAAAAAGTTGATTGTGCAACTTCTTTATATAATTAATCTTAATGACCGTATTAATCAAGAAGAGCACTTAACTAAGTTTGAAACTCAATGCTATACACTTCTCACAACTGGGTTACCAATGCTATGTAATCGATTTTTTTCAAAAATTGATGAAATGTTAAACGCAGGTCGAAAATTTTTAATATAATAGGCCGATATTAAGGCAAAATGTATAAAATCAAAAATCATAAAATCGGGTATAAGATATTCATATAAATAGTATAATCAACAAAATATCAGCCTACAGATAGGCAGAAGTTTAAATGAATTTTAAATTAAAGTCCTAATAAAAGCAGATATTATGATGAATAAAAAAATCTTCATAAAACTAACGAATGTTATT